CACGTTGTAGATGTTCAGGCCTCTAACACTCAGCTTAGTCAGACAGGACAACTCTGAGGCCCTGCTGACACAAGGAATGTGCTGTGCTCCCTAACTACCATGCTGTTGGCTCAGTAGATCAGAGCCAGTTGGGCTCCCCACCCAATGGCTGGGGTGTGGGATGGTGCCAATGAAAGCAATGTAATGGTAATATGACTCTACAGTCCGGGGTGGATGTCCCTCCTCTAGAAGCTCTAGAAGAGTGAGTCTTCCTTTCTGAGCCTGCTGTCAAGGCTGTTTCTGGTTTTTTAACTTGCTGTCAATGTAAAATGCATGTGCAACCCCCTTCTTTTGAGAAGCGAAGTTTTCAAAATGTGTCCGCCTTGGGATGGTTGGTGTTCAGTGGGCTTATGATGGTGCCTGGTGGCCATGTTGGGTAGACCACTGAGGTCAAGGTGAGCGAGAAAAATACTACCAGCCAGGTAGGAGTGCTTGTGGAAGTTGGGGCTCAAAGGGAAGTCTTGAGAGGGAACTCTCTGTGAACAAGTGAGGGTCTGATAGATTTAAACAGCCTGTCCTATTGAAAACACTGAGTGATCAGGGCTGCATGAGCTCTGGTTCCTGCTGGTAGAGAGGTAAAAAAAAAACTTAAAAAAATCTATGCAGTGTGCCAGGAACTGAAGGAGGCTGTGGGGAAATTTAGATGACTTTTCTCTCAGCCAGAGTGGTGTGTGTCCTGCTTTCAGCATCAGCTGGAAGGAAGAAGTGATGCACACATGGTGGATGCATCTAGAGGCTCTAGAGAAGGTGGAGTCAATCTGCACTAGCCTGACTCAAAATGTAAGGAGTATCAGAGAGGATGAAGATAGATAATAACTTATTCAGTACCAAAGACCAATATAATGTATATATGGACGCATTTTGATTTTTAACATTTTTCTTTATAAAGTTTTCATTTGTAGTTTGTTATTTATTTACTGTATTTTTTATTATAATAACATTTTTTTTCTTGAGGAAATTTGATACCACACTTTGTGCTTCTGGTATTATAAATGTGACGTGAACTCAGAAGGGTTGTACATTTGGTATGGCAAAAACCTTGCATGTACATATTCTAGCAGAGAACCTAGGCTATTATATAGACTAAAGAGCCTGAATCTATTCAGCCTTCACAAGAGAAGATTGAGAAGGGATTTGGTGGCCATCTATAAAGTCACAAGGGGGGACCAGTGAAAAATAGGCAAGGCTCTGTTCCCTTGGGCACCACCTTGGATAACAAGGAATAATGATCACAGATTGACAGAGAGCAAGTTCAGGCTTGATATCAGGAGGCATTACTTTACAGTTAGGGCTGCCAGGCTCTGGAATAGACTCCTAAGGGAGGTGCTGCTCTCCCCTACCTTGTGAGTCTTCAGGAGAAGGTTGGATAGATATCTGGCTGGGGTATTAGGATCGCAGGGAAGGGGATCGGACTTGATGATCTGTTCAGGTCCCTTCCAACCCAAGAAACTATGTAATTATCACAGAGGAGTGCCACAATCACTAGGCAGGAGTCAGATCTTCTTGTTGGTACCCTGAATTCTTCACTGTGAAATAGGTCCACACAAGTGCTGAATGAGTAGCTGAAGTATTGGAAGCTGTATACATGGTTTAGCAATTGTACTCCCTGTTTATTGCCGGGGCTAAATTGTCCTACAGAGAGACTATGCTAGCAGTGAACCTATATGGCTTCTGGTGCTCAAAGTAGCAGATATATCTCTGGCTGGCTGTAGATGTGCTCTTCTGGACATACATGGGTACTAGTAGAAGTAAATGGGTCTTTTTTAACTTAAATACCTCTTCTCACACATCCTTATTTGTAAAACGATTAACTTAAAAACTTAACACCAGCTGTTGGCAGGGTATAAGACGGAGATATTTTGAGGGGGAAGACAGCAAACTTTGTGAGGAGTATGATTCTAGTGCAGAAGCAGAGGCAAGAAGAAAAAGACAGTCTTTGCAACATTTTATTGGTCCGGAGGAGGTCTGAAGGGTAAAACAAGGATATATATTCTAGGAGTATCACTTTTAACTTCAAGCACTTCTGCAACCATTTTTGTTTTTCTTGCAAGAGTGCAGGGAGGAGGGGAGAAATGAACACCCATGCCATTTTGTGGTATTGTATATGGATGAATAAACAAAATGACCACTGCAGCGCGTGTTTTAAATAGACTATTAGCGTACCAGCAGCAGAGGTACTAGTAAATAAGTACACTCTTGTCTATGGGATATTTAGCATTTAAAAAAATTCAATATGCAGTACTTTTTAGTCTGCTCCATATCACTTTATTGCCATTCTAGTAGGGAAAATAAAATAAAAAAATCTGAATCATGTTCCATTGACCAGTTTCAGATTGTTATGGGCTATGCAAATGAAAAGGCCAGGACTGAGAGACAGTGACCTTGCAGAAAGGTAGAGAATAAAATGTTATACCCCACCTCCTGTTCTCTGGTCCACCGAAACAGCTGTAAAATTTAACAGTGCCTCTTTCAGGAATACAAAAGAGGACTCCTGAGTAGGTTCGCATAAAAGCAGCCAATAGATCTTTGGGTTTGTAAATGAGATCGATGAGAAAGAGAAACATACTCAGAAAAAGACCAAAAGCAAAGTAATGCAAGAAAATCTAGCTGATAAAAGCAAAGCGTGATACTTTTTCGCTCTTCCCTGGAATGACAGAAGGGGGTTCTTTCATGCCATGATTCCAGCATCTACAGGGACACACTTTATAGAGCAAACCAGCTTCTACTAAAGGTAATAGGCACCAGTGGAAGATAGCTAAAATGCCCTTGGATTAGACTTTTCAACCATTAGTCATTTTGTTTCCCAATGGGGCTATTAAACATTCACAACATGACTAAGAGTTGTGCAAATGTTTACTGAGCAATGAATGAAATATCAGACAGTCATGACAGTCTCCAAGCTCATGTTCTCCTCCAGTAAACCATGTCTTTTTTTCTTAAGCCATATAAACAATTAAACTTTTTTCAAGGAGCATTATGTTCCCAATTTACTTTTGTATATAACTCTTTTTACATAGGATGGATCACTACAGGGGATGGAGATCACTGGCAGTGATGGATGAAGAAAATGAAAAACCTCCTCTCTCCTAAACAGCAAAGAGGGTGGTTTCATAAAAGATACTTTTCAGGATATCCCCATGTGGGGCTGAATTTGCTGGGGCTGGTTACATCAGTTTGAGATCAACAGTTTGCTGAGTTTATGGTACAAAGCAGCCACGCTGTATCCTGGGGGTATGGGGCATCTACAGTTGTATTTTCCAAATCAGGACAGCAGGGCTATTCTTATGTTCAAATGAGAGTTTTTGGGGGACACAAACATACTACAGCTGTGCACCTGTTAATCATCACGCTGTCTCCCACTGCATTTGCTCTGCTTGTCAAGTATAAAAATGGCTGGTGCCCTAGGGCGAGACATCTCATAAAACGTAATGGAAACAAGGTTATGCTATGTATTTATAAGAGTTTCATCCAAAAAAATGCACTGGCCGCCCAGCTGGAAGAAATATGCTTGACAACAATTAAACCAAGTTTATCAACAGATTACCAGAGTATTTCTAAAAGTACAAGTTTTTCATCTAAATTACACATACGCTACCACAGGGGGAACTGCAATGTGATGACTGCAGCTTCTAAGGGTGTGAACAAGTGTTTGCCGCACCTGGTCTAGATATAGGTGGCCATCTAGTAGGTCTGGTGGGATGGGGGAGAAAGGGGTTGGATTAGCACAGCCACAGGGGTGGGGTGAGCACCTGAGCTTCCCCAGCCCCAGGGGTCCTCCGCAAACATGTACAAGACTGGGTTAACCCTTTCCTAGACTGAGCTAATCTGATTTCTATCTAAATTGATGCAACTACTCAGATGAATTAATTTAGATTGGGTGCATCATTTCCCCCCCAAATTTAAATCCTTTGAATTCTTGCATGATTGGACATTTAGATTAACCTAACCCTGGATAGATCTACCTAAATGTGATAGCTATACACCCTAAAGAGACAGGCCCAAGCCATGGAAGCTAAACCTAAACTCCTCCACTAGGTTTAAATAGGAAGATGGTCTTTTGATGTAAAACACACACTGATTTTGCAGAGAGGACATTACCTTAACAGCCTTCTGATAGGCTGGGTTACTGTCTACAAAGGAAGATGTTGCAGCAAGCAGGGATGGAGTCTCTGACAAGTGAAAAATAAGGAAAGCCACCACCACACAAATCTTTGGAGATAGTGTTTAAAAACAAAACTTGCCTTCAAAATACTGGAGCAGCAGCAAATATGTAAAGCACATTTTTTTTTCAAGTTCCTTTCCTACTTTAATTTTCTTGTATAAAGGGCAATAGAGCAAATATTCTTAATACTTAACACCACTCATATAATCAAGATGGAAAGGAAATTTCAAGCAATTTTGCATTGCATCAGGGATGCTCAGGAACAGTGAACAACACAGAGTACATTTCTTCATATAGCTTTTATCTTGGGAAGGAAAGGAAGCAGACAGTATGTCAGATGACTCAGAGCTAAATTCAGATCAGAAAAGTATATGGAAAATAGTGAATAAAATGCTGTATTTCATTGGGAAACTGAAGGAACCCTCTAAAACACTGATTCTCAGTCAGGGTGCCATATCACCAAGGGTGCCTTGAGGTCCTTTCAGGGGTGCCATGGGGTGCAAGACAATGTTAGGTGTGAAAATATGATTCATGATATAAACCCAGAGATTTAAAATAGGAACCCATAGCACTGACAACAGTTTGACCTGTTTTGATGACCTGTTTTGATGACCTGTTTGTTGACCTGTTTCTGAGTTCTTTGCAACAAAATTGCCCTATTATATTTCTATAGTCAAAAAAAAATTAAAACCAAGAGCTGACATTTTACTAAGGGTGCCTTGAATCTAACAGAAGGTGCCTTGAGTCTAAAAAAAACTGAGAACCACTGGTGCACAGTGTGCTAAAGGAAAAATAGCAGTGGCACTTTTCAGTTGCAAGCCACTTTAATAAAAAAGCTCTTTTTGTGAGACATCCTATGAAAACACATCTAAAATTGCCTTGGAATTACTGGGTGAGAATCCTGGATCGTGTTTAACAAGGACATCAGATGAAGCGATCATAATGTTCTGGCCCACCTTGATATAATAGTATTTGAAATTACATGTTTGCAGGATCTCAAATCTGTCACAGCTGCGTTGGAAAAACCAAGTTAAAGTTGTGCTCTACAGTGTGATTTTCAAGCCTTTGGTATCACAGCAAAGAAGTTGTCATTGTGTTTCAAAAGGAAGGATGTAGGATAGGTATTACAGAGTAATATGGTTAATTCATCACTTGGATAACTTGTCACAATGGTCTTATTCATTAGTGCACTGAACTCCTTCCAGAATCCTATTGATTTGTACCCAAAAACACTTTGGCTGCCTATACACATGTTGTGGAGGGGTGGTTAATTAGAGGAGCTCCTGGACAGCTGCTGTAATTAAAATGAATCATTGCCACATGTGTTAAGCCCATATGCATTCCAAAATGGCTTTGGGATGCTTTATTTAAAGCTTATTTGATGAGCCTTAGATAACGTGCCCCCATGGCCATTTTGAAATGTGTGGGTGCTTAATACACGTGATGGTGAGGCAATGCTGGAGCATTTTAACTAGAACATGAATAAGCACATCTCTAAGGCACCCGTCAGCTAATTTGTCACTGGCTAAAGCTTAGTTCGTTCTTTTCAAATGCACTTCCATACTAAATTACAATAGAATTTGTTCCTGATAATTCACTGGCTTTAGCAGCACTGATGTGGTGGTTTTCTGAGTTGTCGGGCAATTTATGCATGCATTATGGATCTAAATAAAGCTCTCTTATGAAGAGCCACAGTAAGTCAGGTGGGAAGCTTGTGGCAGGCCTCATCTCAGCTCAAGACTTAAAATTAACATCAGTGACAGTGAATGGAAAGGCCCTTTTAAGTGGTATCTTCAACAGAAAAGTGGTAGCCATACAAAAAAAAAGAGATAAAGGTAAATCAAAAGTTAACATGTAAAATATTTTCATACATCAAGAAATGTATACAATTCACAGTCAGCATTTTAGTGGTAATATATTTTTTCTTCATTATAGAGGCCCAAAATTATTTATTATATCTTAATATGGCATACAAAATTCATCTCTCAAAAAATTGAAAATGGCTAACTACTTATAATTAGTCATTCATAAGAGGATTATAGTCATTGCTACCCATTCTCTTAGCGTGACAAATTAATCAGATTTTATTGCCTTTTTTAGACTGCTATTGAAATCAAGAACCATGAGCTTCCTTCTCAGGAAGGAGTGTGTTACATTGCTTATAGCTGAGGATAAAACAAGTCTGGCAAATCAGCCTGGTCATGAAATTCTGAATTGTGAGTGAAGGTCATTTAAAAAAGCTTGAGCTGCAGGATGTGGTCAGCAAGGTACAGACAAATGACTAAAAAAAAAAATCAAAACCATGGAAAAAGTGTGACTCTAAAAAGAGGCAGCTTAAAGCCAAAGAAAGGAAACCAAAATCAAGCCTCCAAGAAAAACGCCAGGCTGGACAGACT